GGAGAAGTCATTGGCCAAGCGGTTGACAGTGATGATGAGGACGATTGTGATGATAACATGGGACCTGAAGAACGACGCAATTTCAAACAAGCATTACGTGCCTCCAAATAGTCAGCATGGGAAAGAGAACACCTTCCTAAAATTCCTAATAGAGCACAAGGTTCCGGGACAAGTGGTGGTGCACAAATGAGATGGGGAGCAAGTGTTAGAGAATCACAACCAACACCACCAATAGTCCCAAGTTTATATAAGTCATCCAAAGCACGTCAAAAGAATGTTTTGAGTTGTTTCACCGGAGATAATGTGAATGGGGGAATTGGGCATCTAATTAGCAAGTTCTTTATCTATGAAAATGTCCCTGCTGAGAAGGCATCATCACATCATTTCAAAATATGGTATTGGGATGTCAACAGGCCGGTGTTAGAGTACAACATCCCACTTCCTATGAGGTAAGAAACAAATATTTGGAAATTGAGTATAAAGACATTGGCGAGTATGTTAACAAGTTGAGGTCAAAGTGGGAAATTAATGGTTGTGTGACGGATGAACTGGCCCGACCAGATTGTCTATCATAAACTTCATGGTATACTCCAAGGGAATGACAATTTTTTTTTAAGTCCGTTGATGCTTCAGACCATATAAAGAACTACAAGTATATTTACAAATTATTGAGGGATGTAACCATGGAGGTGGGAGAGCATAATGTTGTCCAAGTCGTGACCGACAACGGTTCTGCATTTGTCAAAGCTGGAAAAAAGTTAATGAAGCATCATAATGTGTTTTAGACATCATATGCAGCACATTATATTGATCTCATGTTTGAGGCAATGGGGAAGAGAGAATATTGCTACTGTCGTAAAAAGAGCTAGAATGATCACAAATTATATTTACAATCACGGTTGGTTGTTGGCAACGATGCGTGAATTTTACAAAGGAGAAATTATTCGTCCAGCTACCACTCGATTCGCTAGTGACGATTAGGCCAACCACAATTTCAGCCGCTCAAATGCAGGTCGTATGATGGAAAGTATAATGCTTGATCATGTTTTTTGGACTTAATCAGAACATGTGTGCCAAGTGTTTGAACCTCTTTACAAAGTTTTACGAATCGTTGACACAGAAATGTATCATACTATGGGGGCAATATATGAGTTGATGCGTGTAGTGAAGGATGATTTGGAAAAAAAACATGGTGCAAGGTGGTCATAAAGATAATTGATGACCGATGGTATAAAACATTATACCACGATTTGCATGCAGTAGGTATAAATTATGTCATAATTTGCAATTCATTTCTTTAGTTGCATAAGTATTATTTCTCTTATTCTGTGTTTCTTTGAACAGCATATTATTTGAATCCTCGATACCAATACAGACCCGGTGTTGGAGATGATGGTACCCTTATATGTGTTGTACATAATGTATACTCTAAATTAGACCCTGCATCACCAGCAGTTGGCCAATTTGGTAATGAGGTACCCAATTACTTAAATTATAATAATTACATTGTTAGATTAAACTAACACGATTTATTGAATTCAGCTAACATGGTTTAAAGATGCAAGAAGAACTTTTGGAGAACCAACATCAGTTGCTGCTCGAACAAAAATGTCTCCTAATGAGTGTAAACATATTTCACTATCAGTTTATAATAGAATTTGTTGGAGTTATTAGGCTTATCAACATTGTTTTTCATTATAGCTGAATGGTGGATCATGTATGGGACTGATGCACCAACTGTGAGAAAGTTATCAATCAAAGTATTATCACAAACAACTTCCTCATCTGCTTGTGAAAGAAATTGGAGTACATTTGCACTCATACACACAAAGCAAAGAAATAGGTTGGCTCATAGTAAGTTGGAAAAATTAGTTTATTGCTACTACAACATGAAGCTTCAAATTCGAGATAAGGAACCATAAATAGATCATGTCGACCGTGGTGACCCACTAGATGTGTTTGATATTGTTGCTGAAGATGATACAAAGGGTAACCAACTTTATCAATGGATTTGACCTCTTCATTTAGATGATGATGAAGGCAACCCAGTTCCCAAAGTTGCTAAAAAAGCACGTAATGAAGAGATAAATGTAGAAAGAGTATTAGAAGAGGAGGTGAGATCTCGCAGCGCTGATTTTTTGGAAGAACTTTTGCACCCAAGACCAAGAAACATTGGAATTCCACCTTCTTCCAATCCTACACAACCACAAGATCATGATGATACTAATGATAGCTCTAGTACAAGATCAGGAGACTAATCTACCATCGGAGGTGGAATGATGAAGAATATAGTGGAGCTGGAGGTAATGGTGGATATGCAAACTATGTTGGACCACCTCTCGGACTTATGAGCCCCTTCACTGGTGAGGCAAACTTAACGCATGCACAGGATGAGAACCATGGCAGTAGGCGGGTATGACCAGGAATTTGTGCCATAGGGAAGGATTATACTCGTAGAAAAAGAAGCAAGGGGATTTTGTCAAGTCAAGAAGATGACTCGTTATCTATAACTTCGGACTCTGTTGGAGTGGGAAGCAGTAATTATGGTTATACTCATAACCATTTCCCTACCCTTCATATCCCATTCTTGTTGGGATCGAATCGAGCGACTCATGGAAAGAATCTGATACTCAATCTTCAAATGATTTTGCTTATGGACAACATCAACCAATCTTGGATCCATATGGATGGTATGTTAACAATTACATACAAAACTATTTTGGGGATTTATCATTTGATGACTACTCTTCACAATACATTTACTCTACACGTAGAGATGATGAAGATAGTGAAAAATTTGAACCTCATAGAAACTCTATGTGGTACTAAGTCACTCATATATCTTACCATGCAATGTATAAAGTGTAAAATATTGTACTAATTCATTATATATAAATGATTATGGTGTGTTTAAATTTTTTTCATTAATTACTACATATTTTCTACACTCACAATGTTTAAACTTCTTTCATTAATTATTACATATTTTATGTGAGTGTTCAGCCTACGAAGTTACTACCACATACTCCAGAGTGTATGCCCATTAGGATGCTCCGTCGTTGCTCCGAAGTAGCACAAAGCAAATGTGGTCAACCTTCCTAGATGACCTTTCTCGCCAAGCCCCGATCATCCGAAAGGGTGCCATGTCGAATGTAGGCTAATATTTCATCTATCTAGCTTTCACGCATGTCCACCATTACGACTTATTGCGAAGTTGGCCTCGTAATACTTGAAGCTTCAAAGTATTCGAAGAGCATGCTTCGGTGAAGCCGGTGGCCAACAAATGATCCCAGGTTAGGTGTCAGCATGGCAGTTTTCACTTCACGGGAGTTGATGAATATCATACTTGGTGAACTTAGCCCATAACTCTTTGGCCTTCTCTAGGTATATCGCCATGATTGAATTTGTGAGTTATGTATTCACCCGTGACCTGGTTTGCCACTAATAGAGAGTCGTAAAGATAGCTATCTATTTTACTTGAAGCTTGAGGGCGACCTTTAGTCTTGCTAGTAAAGCCTCATACTCGACTTCATTGTTATTGGCACAAAACCCCAACTTCATTGCCTACTCTATAATAGATCCATCTGTGGTGAATAAAACTAGCACAGCTTCAACAACCTTCGAGTTAGTAGACCCATGAACATAAAAACACCAGTGCGCGTTGAGGCAGACTCTTCTGTAGTCTTGGATTTTAGAGTGAACTCAGTAATGAAGCATGACAGTGCTTATCGTTTGATGGCAATTTTAGATATGTAGATCAACTCATGTTGTCCTAGCTCAATAGCCCACTTGTTAACTCTGGTGGAGCCGTCAGGACTGGTGGAGAATCAACTAGAGTGGGAATTCAATCATTACCACGATTCGAAATTAATTAAAGTATGGCCTGAGCTTCCTTGTCGCCATGCTAAAATCAACTTCTCTATCTTAGGATATCTTGTTTCAGGTCAGATGAAAGCTCTCGAGACATAATATATTGGCTTCTAGCCTTCTGAATTTTCTCGGACTAGAGGTGATCTTTCAGTGGCGAATGGCAAGCTCACCAAGAAGCATGTTGACAACCGAATTGGTCAAGTTCTCGAAGACAAAAGGCGATCTTTCGCCGACGAATGTGGTTGGGGTGTGGTCGTCTTGGTAGATGTTGGAGCGGATGGTGTGCATGGAGCAGCCAGTGTGGCGATGGATTTTGGTGGATGAGGGAAAATAGAAGTTGCGGGTTTGCAGCGGGGAGTGATGGTTGGAGCGGGAATGGGAATCTTCAAGAGAAACCATTCTCAAAGCTCAGAGCTTTACAACAAATTTCAGAAATTTTCATATGTGATTTGAGTTTTTGGGGAATTTGAATTGGAGTTTTGTATTAGAGGTACTGTGGAGTAAAGAAGGAATTCATGGTGCGGGGAAGTGTAGAATTGGGAGGGAGGGAAAGAGAAGATTGAACATGTTTTGGTATAAATTTTGTATGTTTTAGTGGAGATTTGAGTGTTGATTGGAGCCGAAATTTTTCAGCCTTCTTCCTTGTTAGAATCCAATTGTGACAATGCAACCCACCAGGAGAAAAAAGGGAGAGTTTTTTTTAATTAATTTTAATTGTTAAATAACAAAATTATTAATTTATGAATAATTAATTAATTTTTTATTCCAATTGGCGAAAGGGTGGGCCCCGCTCTTGCCCCATCATCATTTAACAACCAAATTGACAAAAAAATTAATGGAGGTCTATCATTGCAACGAATTCATAAGTTGAGGTATGACATTGCAATGTTTAAAACATGAGGTATGAAATTGTGGTTCGACCCATAGTTGAGGTAGTTTTGTGTAATTTGCCCTTGAAAATAACTAAGAGATCTTAAGACTAGTGGAGATAACTGACATATGAAGACTCTTTTGTTCTTTTTCAGATTGCACAGAGAAATATGCATCGAATTCACAGTAACAACATACTACACAATCATGTAAATAAGAGAGTTACAAGGAAAGCACATGCTAGGATTTAACATTCTTACCAGGAAGGATCTCCTCGATGATAAATTCACAGTTCTAACGGATGTACCCATTGAAACCCTAAAAAGATACAAAAAATACAATACTAGATTAATGCAAAAGCAAAGGGTTTTAAACCTGCACACATCTTTATTAGCATCTATAGTTACATCCATCTGTATGCATATATACCAAAAACGTACCAACTTTCTTCGAGGCATCACCCCCACAAACCTAGAAGAATTGCTTTTGACGTTGCTGACATCAGCCAATGCCCTTCTTACAACATTTGCATTTGCTAAGATAAAAGCAACACAAACTATAAAAAGGAACTGATTGAAGATGTGTAACTCAACTAACAAGTAGAGTCTGGTCGAACCTTACCTGCCGAACTACCAAGTATGCCTTTTCGCTTCTCCATACTTTTCAGCCCAGCTTTGATAACGAAACCATTTACAGAAACAAGGCAGTAAATATATAATTAAAACAAAAACTCCTTATCAAAAGAAACCACACTCCATCCCAATCCACCTCCAGAAAAAGCAGAGGAATAAGGTCATTAGTTACCGTTAAAAGCAGCTGCGTTCTCCTGAGTCCATACTTCGTTAACCGCTGCACAAGTCCTGAAATTGAAAGGGGCAAACAGATATAATTCCCCCTACAATCTAAATGGTTGCCAATAACTAAACCTTAATGTTCTAAAACAACTTAGATATTGATTAAAACCATAACATTCGGTAATCGAAATGAAATTACACATGTTTAGAACCACAATTACGGAATTACCTGCTCCCGGCATCAGCTTTAGCAGTGTCACTTTCTGTATAAACCTTAAAAACTTGGGACCTTAACTTCTAAAAAAATGGGAAATTAGCAATATCACTTTCTGTATAAACCTTAAAACTTGGGACATTAACTGCTTAAAAAATGGGAAAAAGAATGTCAGAAATTAATAAAATCACCACCACAACTTTAAACCAGCAGAAGAACCAAGAATTGCGGTTCCGCACCACTTGAACTTCAACCCGATTCCGTCCTATGCCGAATTTGGGCTGAAAATTAAGAAGAACAAAGCAGGATTCGCAGATGTCAGAATTGCTTTCACCCAAAAGAAACACCAGAGAAAGAAATCAAAGATAGTTAACCAGGAATCGAAAATCCTAAGGGGTTTCATCTGACCTTAGCAGCCAGCATTTTGCCTCGCTTTTCAAGTGCCACAGCGCTCCGCTCTGTCGATGATCCAATTTCTAGAAAGACCGAGAGAATTCCAGTCAATTCAAGCTAACATTCAATCCAGAAAAGGAACGCTAAATTTGTGAAAACTAAACCCTAATTTTTTTCAAAACAACTTCAAATTTGTACCAACGGTAAAATTCAAATTTCAAAACGCATCCCTAATTGAATCGATCCTTCGAATAAATTCGATTTATAAAGAATTAAATGGAAACGATAATTTCTTGCATAGATTCGTAGAAGGAAGCGTACCTTCCACGACGTCGTCTGGAGATATCTCTTGCCCTTCTCGGATTCTCATCTTCGGAGATGAACAGTCGACCGTTGCAGAGGTTCTGTCTGTTTGATTCATCCTGTTATTTAAAGCGGCGGCCTTTACTTCTTTCGTTTTGTGAAATAAAGATCCGATTTTACGTTACTAACCCTTTCCTCAGTTGTTTGGTCAACTATACCCCTGCTTTCCTCTTTACTCTCCCCTTCAATTTTGAAAACAAAAATCAAAACTTTTACATAATTTAAACTATGTTAATAAAATCATCTTTATCAAACACAAAACAAAATTATGAGCAGTAAAATAAATTCACACAAATTAAACTTTACAGTTTTTTTCCATAGCTTCTCCCAAGAGTGATAATAACATCTTCTAATTTTGAAAAATAAAATATAAAAATAAAAACTTCTCTCTCTCTCATCCACATTATTTTTTTCTTCCTTTTTTTCTTCTAACAAACAATATTATTTATACTAAAGATGATTGGATGGATTAAGTCTCATAATGAACTAGCAATAATATGGTTCAAATTCGCCTTTAGTACTAAGTGGCTGCCAAAGGCGAATTTAAACCAATTATTCTAGATTGTGAGACTATGCTCATTCCTCTCCATCTTTCACTTTCAAATAAAAAGGAATATCACTAGACCGTAGTACTAAGTGATATTCCCATATTAAAATAAAAAATAAAAAAATTTCACGTGTGGGGCATATGGTGGTAAGAAATAAGGAAAACTTTGAGTTTTAACGATAAGGACAAAATAAAGGGTAAAATAAATAGTAACAAAATTCATTTTTTAGTGTAAAAATATGATTTTTCGTTAAAATAAACAGTAAACTATTTTTGTTAAAGTTCCTGAGAAATAAACAAAACAACAGTCTCAACTGTCACCCGAGCGAGTCAACAGAAAAAAAAGCGTAGGAGCAGAGAAGAAGAAGAAGCAAGAATGATGAGGCCCGAGATTGTATTGTTCGGAGACTCAATCACCCAACAATCCTTCCGACCAGGTGGCTGGGGCGCCGCTCTAGCTGATTCTTACTCCCGCAAGGTCTCTCTCTCTTTCTAACTGTTAATGCAAATCAGGAAATGTTGGTAATTTTTGGTGATGGTGTTTGATAGGCCGATGTAAAAGTTCGTGGGTATGGCGGGTACAACACGAGATGGGCACTGTTCTTGCTGCAGCACCTCTTTCCTTTGGTAAATTCTTATGCTGCATCCTCTGCAATTGTTTACTGTATCGTCTTCAAAGGTAAAAGCTTTTCTGGTTTGTTGGCATTGGAATTGCGTTTATTGGGTTTTATTCGATTTAGTTTTTTGTTAGTTAAATTGGGTTTTTTTTCGATTTCTCGCTCGTATTGCTTTACATTTCTGATTGTGCGTTTGATTTCAGAAAGTCAATGTCTTTGTTTGCTAGTATTTGATAGTATTGCTGATAGATCAAGTTATCATGTTGAGATGTTAGATTAGATATGTGATCAGTATGCATATGACTCATATGATATGAGGGAAATAAGTGTTGGTTTTGGAAGCGTATGCGAAAATCGTAGAAGTGATGGCCGCCATTATGTGATAAAAGGATAGGATTTGATTGATGCGGAAACGTTTATGGAAGTGACAGTATCCCACTGTGAATGTGCAGGATTCTAAGAAACCTCCTGCTGCTGCCACAATTTTCTTTGGGGCCAATGACGCAGCTGTTTTAGGCAGAACAGGTGAACGGCAACATGTTCCCGTTGAAGAGTACAAGGAGAATCTCAGAAAAATTGTTCTTCATCTCAAGGTTCAAATTTGTTTACCTTTCTTAATGAATATTTTGGTTTTGCCAATTCAGTCTTTATCCTCATTGCCTGATAGATGCTATTTTATGTATAATACCGACATTGTGGGTAATTTACTTTTGGAAGGACCGAAGGAGCTATTTATAACTACCAATGGTATAAGATTGATAACGCAACTTCTACCATTGCAAGCATCAGCTCGTTATCTTTGCCTCTGAGTTGTATTCACATCATCGCTTGTCCAAGAAACCATAACTGCCCCCGTCTCTTTCTAAATGTTCTGTCAATAACATAATCCTTGGACCTTGTTTTTGAATCACACGTAGAACTGCTAGTTCATTGCATATGATCACTTATTTCTTACCGTGAATTCAGGGTCTTTGATTTCCAGAATGTGTTCATATATGATCTCGGGACTTTCTAAGGGGTGACTATTTTCAGGTCAATTGTTTAACCTATTTCTCATCGAATATAGGGGTTTTGATTGCAGGAGTGTTCTCCCACCATTTTGATTGTGCTTATTACTCCACCACCTGTTGACGAGGATGGCCGTAATGAATTTGCGCAGTATGATTTACTCTTCTCATTTCAGAACTTACTACACACATAATTGTCTTATTGTTGCTCTTCACAATGTTCATGTGATTGGTACCTAACATTTTGATTGTTTAATTGGGTTTCACAGATCTTTATATGGTAAGGATGCTAGTGGACTTCCAGAAAGGACGAATGAAGTGACAGGAGTTTATGCGAAGAAGTGCATTGAGCTAGCTGAGGAAATGGGTCTACGCTCCATCAATCTTTGGTCCGCAATGCAGGAAACGGAGGGTTGGCAGAAGAAATTTCTAAGGTTTGCCATCTTATAAAGCTTCAACTTGTACAGTTTATGGAATAATTGAGCATTAAGTGGTTGCAACCAGATCTTCCCATGCAAAAGAAGCACTATTTACTGATTAATGCCTTAGATTCGGCCATGATAGTCAGATCAAGACCATCTAATAATTTTGTGATCGTTAAATGGGGATCAAAGTTATACGAAGATAGATATACTCTAATTTAGTCCTAGAAATACTTAATTACATCTGATAAGTGTTTGACAGTGTGAGAGATTGAATAATCTGTCTTAATCCTTTGTTTTCCATCGCAGTGACGGGTTGCACCTAACACCAGAAGGCAATGCTGTTGTCCACCAAGAAGTCGTCAAAGTTTTCAGTGAAGCATGGCTTTCTGCCGCGGAAATGCCTTATGATTTCCCTCACCACTCAGAAATTGATGGGAAGAACCCTGAGAAAGCTTTCCAGCAACGATGCATATAACATCAACTCTTCGATTGCTTCAAGTTTTACAACTTTTCACAAGCAAATGCTATATTGGCATTCACCCCGAAGCACATTGCTTCTTCTGAAGATGTGACATAGAGAAGTGTCATTATTTTTTTCGCCATTTGCTTGATTAGTATGTACAACAAAACTCCCTATGGGAAACTTGAAATCTTTCCATATCTTGTTCATTCAAAATTGTAAGAGTGAAATCTTTCCATATATTGGGGAATCCGAACAGAGGCCCTCGGGTCAAGGTAAATGCTCTTAGGGAAATAGTTTCAAACTTCAATTTTCTCCCCTGTACTACGCTCTTTTGTTCTAAGTCCTCGATTTTCTTTTGATTTATTTAGTCCAAGGGGTTTTAGAATAAAAGAGAAGAATGCAGAAAGTGAAAATGGGAGCGCAAAGTCATTTTCTGCAATCGTAAATGCAAACCAAACTCATTTCTCAGCTCTTTTATACCCTTATTTAAGTGTGACATTCCTAATTTTTAACTTTAAATTTAATTAACAACAGTTAACCAAAAGAGGCAATAAAATGCATGGCGTTATGCAAACCATTGCAATTAATAAATTTGACAGCTTCTAAGAGTGAAGTCTCTCTTAACGACTTTTACCAAATTAACTTCATTAATTGGAGCAAAACCGATTTTTACTCTCAAATTTGTCCTAGTTGACTTTGACTTTCTTTGGCCATGAACCAAAAGATGACCCTTTTTTTCTTCTGCACGCTCGTGTTAATTTTAGTCCGTTAATTCTCGTTTAACGTATTTAATCAGGGGGCCAAAATTAAAATGGGTCTCTAAGATGAGAAAACTGGGGTGCCAACATCATTTTCTGCTAAATAAACATTACATAACGCCATTACATACTTATGAACTTGAGTTAATGGATTTAATTACAGTCGGGATAATATCCAACAAATTAAAGAGAAAATTTATAGGAGCCAAATTTTGAGACCAACAAAGAAAACCCTAGTGGCAAAAGTATGTAAATTTAGCTCATGCGATCAATCATGACCGTTGAATGAAGCAAGATCAACGGTCATGATCTATCTTTATAATAAATGCATTTCCTCCTTCACCTTTTAAGCAAGCAAGAGTACAATGGGGACAGCTCCCAAAACAGAAGCTACCCCATTTTCCTACTACTAAACTCTACCATATTTTGCTTAGAGCATCTTTAATGGAGCTCAACAAGCTCAGGGAAAACCTCGTCTCTCAAATTCACGTTCCGTTGCTCGCGCCGGAGAATTATGTCAAACCTTACACAACGAAAGATGAGTTTCTCTTTGAAGCGTCTTCGTCTTCAAAGGGAAACTACAATTACCTCCAAGATTTTCACCACCTTGATCATCAATTTCAGGTCAACGTCTCCTCTTCAAACCCTATGTTTGGGACCCACACCCCATGTTTTGATCCGTACAACGACACATCCTACCCGTACGATCAAAATTCATCTCATCAAGATGTGAACTTTTACGAATGTAAGCCTCTAAATGTTGCAGAAAACAATGGGGCCCATGGCCAAGTTTTGGACAATTTACAAGGTGGGTCCTACTTGAAATTCTCAACTCATCACAGATTATCAAATCCATTAGATCATGTGGTGGGAACTTCATCTCATATGACTGCAACTAATTTCCTGCCGTTGGATTGCTCTCAAGATATTAAACCCGTGAACTTTTTGGTGCCGGATGAGGTCTCCTGCATAAACAATGCAGACCAAAATGTGTACTACAGAAAATTTGGGATGAATGGTAAAAGCAGAGTTACCGGAGTAACAAGAGGGTCAACGGTGAAAGGTCGAAAGAAGTCAAATGTGGTCAAGGGTCAATGGACAATTGAGGAAGATAGGTAAAAACTGAAAGATTAAAACTTTAATTGCATTTTTGGGTAGCTTAAGATCTCTAATTAATGTGAAATTTGTGTTAATACAGGCTCTTAATTCAACTGGTTGAGCAATTTGGAGTGAGGAAATGGTCTCACATTGCTCAGATGTTGCCTGGGAGAATTGGGAAGCAATGTAGGGAGAGATGGCATAACCACCTAAGGCCTGACATCAAGGTATTCAATAATCGACCGACTTATACTTGTTTAGCATTGTTTTTAGAAGAGGGAAAAGCGCATCGTCGTCATGAAGTATTTGGATTTTGAATAAAAGCGCTTACAAGTGTTTTATAAATAAGCAATCCCAAACATGAATGATCATTATAGAACTAGACATGCTAATTCCATGAAAATTGTCTTTAGGTTGCAATACACTTGGCGAGTAATGCTACATGAATCACACTTACATTCGTCTAGTTGCGTACTGTGACATTACTAATAGTTAGTGGTGTAGTAACGCGTGGTACAAATCTAATACAAGAAAGTGATGCAAATGGTTTTGTTTTGTTTTATTAATGTCAATTTTATTTGTTTTGCAGAAGGACACATGGAGTGAGGGGGAGGACAAGATACTGATACAAGCTCATGCAGAAATAGGAAACAAGTGGGCAGAAATTGCAAAGAGACTGCCCGGAAGGACCGAAAACTCCATCAAAAACCACTGGAACGCAACGAAAAGGCGACAATATTCCAAGCGAAAATGTCGATCAAAGTACCCTAGAGGCTCCGTTCTGCAGGAATACATCAAGAGCTTAAACCTAGACTCGGCAAGCAACGGCACAGGGCGGCAGCGAAAGAACAGTTCAGCTAACAACAACGGTGTCAGCACCAGCACCAAAGCAGCTGCAGCTGCTCATCAGCCACAAACCAACCTGGAGTTTTCGTCCGCAAATGATCAGTTCGTTCCGAGCTACAACGATTTCAATGAGGACCCCAATTTTTGTTTTGACGAGAACATCTTCGAGGAAGGGTGTAGCATCGACTCTCTGCTCGATGACATCCCTTGCGCTCCTGATGTTGGTGAGAAGAACAGTAACTTTGATGGTAAAAATCAGATTGATTACGGTAATGTTGACAAGGGTAATTTTGATGAGAAGGGTTTTGATGTGGAGATGCAAGTGGATTGGGAGAGTAATGAAGTGAAGAAGGAGATGGATTTGGTGGAGATGATATCTCAAGTGAACTAATTAATAAGCTGAATTCATAGAGTTGAAGAAAGAGAGAGGGATGCAATCAGCTTTGAAGTCGATCGAGTTTTGGTTATCTGTGTAGAATTTTGAATGTAACCAAGAGTATATTTCCGTTTTTCTCTCGTCGCATGATCATCATATGATGAGAGATAGAGAGAAAGAGGCGTAGCGGGATTACACGGTTTTATTACAATAACATAATACAGAGGTTAATATATGGTTTATGCATGGAGGTGAAGAAAAGTATACTTTCAATAATGATTAATGAATATGTACTAAAAAAATAATAATAATGATTAATGAATAAGGGATACGTGATTTTATCATAATATATATACGTACTCTTGCTGATAGCTTTTGTATGTGTATTATGGTTTTGAGTGTATCACGTACGTGTTCTTGCAGTTGCTAATAATGTTTTCAATTATTAATTAAGTAGGGTTTTACAGTGTTACATGTTTACTTAATTGAATTTTTTTAGGCCAAATTGAACATTGAGCCGACCTAGGTGCAAGCAGATTATGTCACATAATCTAATTACATAATATGATAATTGTCATAGAAATATTAATCGTAACGAAGTATTGCCTAAGTCCGACAAGTTATTTGGCGATCGATAAATTAACATACTCTGAGGCACATTGAACTCAATTTTAATCTCTCTCTGCTCTCTGAAACTCAAAACTTGTCAATTTACTCCTTGAAACTCAAAATTCATTTTATATTGCCTTGCTTCTATTTTTTTAACAAGTTCATCCATTCAAAATTTATAATTGGCAATATGCCAAATTTTCCCTGAAATAAAATGAATAGTAAAAAAGAATCATCTTCTCTCTTCACCAATCACTTCCATTAAGAACATAAGAAATAACGAAATCAATGTAACTAATAATGAGGTGGCTAGAAATGGAGGGAGAAAGGATGAATGTATGGATGATTATAGAGAGAGGTCGGGGAGATGAAATGCATGAATTGTTTTTGCTATTTTTCTTACTTTTCCTTTTTTAATATGTTACATAATGTTTAAAAATTAAATTAAATTTTCTTTTATTTTATTTTTTTCAATTTATGTGGCACCATTTGATTGGATAAGTGACCTTTGTACTTGTGCCACGTCAGTCATAAGTGGGTCCTAATTATACCACATAAGTAAACTTAACGGTTATTTAATGGAATACATAGAAACAAGCAGAAGTGTAGGGAATATTGAGTTTCAAGGAGTAAAATTGAGACTTTTGAGTTTTAGGGGGCAAAGTGTGATTGAACTAGAGTTCCAGGGAGCAACGTGGCGACTGTTGAGTTTCAGGGGTAAAGTGAGATCAAAGTCCAACTCTTGGAGTAAGATGACGACTTTTGAGTTTCAATTACAAAGTGGGATCGAAATCGAGTTCCACGGAGTGTAGCTAAAAATAAGCCTGAGATTAAAGCAAAGTTCCAAGGAACATAGCAACAAAGAAAGCCAAAAAGTAACTCATGATGTAAACTCCCTGCTTTGTTTTGGGACAAACTGTTTGGTTAATCTAGGGTTTGCTCTAAGTGCACCGTGACCGTGACCGTTGGATGAAGTGGTAGGAAGCCCAATTAACGACAATAAAAGCAAAAACAACCCAAAAGATAAGATACAAGGCAAGCAAAGCAAAGCAGCCAACGACACGACTGCTTGACGAAGAAATTAATGTTTCGTGCATGTCCAGTAATTAATATTTAATTGAAATCTCTTTAGGAATCTTTCCACAAAAGAATTTAGCCTTACTCTATATATTGTAAACTATCGTACACACATGAAATAATTCAAGGAGTCATATGTAGGAACTATAAATGGTTAGTCTTCAACAAGGATCACAAACAACATATCTTACATATAACATTTACAAGAGTTGGCATTAAAAACAGATCGACCATACCTGAGAACCCATCTGTCCAGCAACAAAGACAGCAACAACACCAACCAAAAGATCTGGTGCAGGCTGTGTTTACTGGTAACGCATAAGAATTCTTCTACTCACTCAAGACCTTATGTTCCAATGGTGATAGAACCCTGATTACAGAACGTGTTCTTTGTGAGCAGGGAATCCTTTATTATATTTAACTGAACTTCTCCAACCTCCATCTATCATGATGATTGGATAGCAACTGCTATGAACTGCAGCAATCAGTTTCCTTTGACGTGGAGCAATGCAAGCATCCTTATCACGTCCCATATCCCTTAATTCTAAGAGATCAGTTAT